AAGCTGGGCATGGTCATAAATCTGGTCACTTTTGTCCGTGTGTATCCATCCAACCAACACAAGAAGTTCTGACCACCAAGGTCAGTGATTCTCCTTCCTCTGCTGTTGTAAAGCTTCTGTCGACATTAATGAAACATTGTCTACATTCTATATTCACTTTCAGTCATGATGTCCAATCCAAACAGTTTTGTTGATGTTGTATAAATAAATAAATGATTTATTAATCCACTTTATGGTTGACTTAATCCTGATGTAGTTGAGAACGATGGAGTCTTGTGAAGTGGAACTTCGTCATCTGTATGTGTGAGGCAGTAGTGGATAGGAAGTGAACCGCTGGTAACTAAAGTCCCACCGTGCGAGTGTTTCAAGTTTATACTTAAGGTTTACACGCATCATTGAACTCTCTAATATGGAGGGTAGTTGGTTTTGCCAGGTGTATATACGGTATGACAATTTCTTAAGTATAACAGAGAGCATGTAATACGACCTGTTAAATATTAACACAAAAACTGTTGACAATCTTTGTGTCACGCCAAGCGGACTTGTCGAAATGTTCATAGTTTAAGATCATTGATTGTGAAACTTGAATGCATTCTATATAGTTTATATCTAAGTATATAGATATGTGTAAAGCTGTAGATACCAAGGGCAGAGATGTTAGATAATAAAATGCGTCTATACATTAATGAATACAAGTAGCGTTCGCGAACCTGATTACCACATGCCAAACTTTTGTATACAAAATCACGTAGATATTGATGTCGAATCTTATATTTCAGTGTAGTCAAAAGTTTACTTAATTTTACATAGTTGTTCCTGGCTCTTAAATTGTCAGTGATACTAAGCGTAGTCTGTGTGGTATGTTATGTAGTGCTGACAATTACGCCTGGTCATTGGCACAGAACCGTGAAAGAAATAGATGATTATACTAATATTTCAACATGAATGATCCGACTGTCCTTATACTCAGGAAATGAAGCTCCCTAACAATAGTTAGTTGTGGGACTTAAAAAGAAAAAAAAAACATGCAGTTTTATCGCTTATTTGTATCTACTATAACTAATCCTGAATTTGTATTGATGGATGCTAAACCGATTCGAGTGTCTTTTGTGTAATCTTAGATAGTGCTACGTCGAACGGATGTGTATATTGACAGAACAAAATTATTAAATAGAAATTAAAAATCAACCGCATGCAATCCTTCCTTTCATTCTTCACTCCTCAAAACCACCAAAAATACAACAGTCCAAATTAATTCGAACGCCATTTGTGAGGACAGATGAAGTAGCCATCATGTTAATTCGTTCATTTGGACTGAACTCCCCTAAGTATCCCCGTTCGTTCTTTTTTTGTATGTTTTCTTCAATTACTGTAAACAATCATTCCATCAGAAAAGTCCATTGTTTCGTGCTCATTGGCGCATCCGATCGTTCTTTTTTTATCATACAAGTTACTTCCTGATAACGTTATGTTGGGTGGATTTAACCGAAATGGGTGTTGTCAATCAAAATACAACCAGAAAGCTAAGTTTCCATTGATCGTATCAGTAAAGCTAGGTGCAAATCGAGTTCTCATTGCTGTTTCATCGTAAGATTAAATCTTACCAATTATTAATTACATAAAAACGAAAATGACACATACCTTAAAATGATTGAATGTATCAGGTACAAAATGATATGTGAAATTATTTGCTTTTAGAGTTAATGAAAACATTCTAAATAACCCAGCTTAATAACATAGAATATATGAGGAAATCAAAATGTTTGTACGTGTTAGAAACAAATTATAAAATTACAGGTATCACATCCATTTTATACAGTTAATATCACAGGCTAGTGCGTTTTATGGCAGGTAAGATTTTTACTAGTGGTATATGCAGATATTAAGACTTCAACACCTCATTATTACACAAAACTGATATAACAGTCAAAACTAGCATGTACCTTAATTGAAATAGCCGTCGTTTTCAAATGAAATCCTTTTGAGTGATGACGTCATATTTTAACCATAATTAAGCTTTATTGAATCAAGAAAAAAATAATTATGTACAAACGATAAAACCACGGGGACTTTACACGAATTCTCAACCCACCTTATACATTCATTATGCAAATACATGTGCCGTGGGATGGAAATCCGTGCCAAGACCCTGTGGTCAAAACATGAAGGCTTCAAATAAAGTTACAGATGAATCCGGTCGATCATTTTCCCTTGGTAAAAATTTCGTAAATAAAGCAAATATTAGTGGTAACTGATGTACGAGAACAAGAATCAGCACAACGTCAACATGGACCCGAGCTGAATGTATCAAAGCAACAAATTTCACGAAAACTTAAAATATATTTTACATTACAAAAACAGAAAATTGAGGGTAGCTCTATCAATACATATAAATAAGCTTCTTATAATTCATCAGAAATATTCAGTAAAAGAATGAAAACAAACACCAAAAAATGGAAGAGAAAATTAAAAATGAATAAATGAAAACAATACAAAGCAAAAACACGAAATATTCATTGATAATGATAAAAAAACCCAGCCTAAACCAAGATTATTTTTGATGCAGTACTGTCTTGACATACAGTATTACTAACACTGTACAGTTAACGTCTATTGAAGCTAAAAGTATTGATGCTACTAAAATGAAATATAAAGTACATGTATGCTAATAACCTTGTGTAGTTCAGGATATCAAAATCAAGCATGGAAATGCTGATGTTAAAGTGATTGACACAGTATATGCCCTGAGGTGTACATTTTATAATACTACCCGCTTTTATACTATTTGTACCTCTTAACACCTTAAATCATTTTAGTCCTAAGAATTATAATTAGTACTGTAGATTCAATACATCCTCCCGTGACCTTTCGGAATGGGTACAGAGTAATTAAGTGATATCATTTTATCAAAATGTGGGTCGGCGCTCTCTCAAACAATTTTTAACTTGCGTACTAAATTAATGTTTCGGCTGGTATACTCCAATATACACGGCAGATGTTGCCCCATCGTTACAGATATTAACATTTTCGTGGTCTTCACAAGTTGTTTTATGGGGACCAAATAATATGTCGTAGAAGATATTATATCGTTTAGTGCATTTGACTCTAATATATATGCACGATTATAACTTTCGTTTTAATTTGCAGAATTGTGAAACCGAATAACATGATCACTTTTTATAAGCCGAGATCTGTCAATCCTTTAACAGTGAATATTTCCTTTGAGTATTTATACCATCTCTGCTTCCTTATTTTCTGTGTGGACATTCGCGGCTGATTTGATATTCGATTTGCTTTATTGAATGCTGGCTGACGAATGAGCAGTATATATTTTTTGTGTTTTTTGGTGGATTTTTTTTCAGTCTATCTCACATTGCTAGTACAAGCCTGTGTGTGAAATTCGATGTTTTACCTTAAATATGCGTATCTTAAAAATTGTAATTCTACAGAGTAGACGTTCTTACAAACTGCGTAACATATTTGCAATACTATATAGTCTATGTTACCACTAACACATTTCTTCAAAGGAAATCTATTATCGTTGTCAAAGAAGGGGCTGTTACGTCCCAATGATGCTTAACCAGCCGAATTCCTTGTACGCTAAATGTATATCTTTAACATAGCTATGTCATGACGGCGGATTTATCGAGGGCAGTAATGTCGTGTTAATTCCAAATACACCCTTATCGTATCAGCAATGTGGATTTAAGCTCAATTTCGTTCACTCTAATAGTTTACCTTTCACAATATATATGATTAATTACGAAGACTGCTTCAGAAACAGGTGACGGACGTTGATATAAATTGTTCTTTTTATCAGATTATGCCAAAGACATCACTTTCAATTAGTTTTATAAAGAAAAGTGTCGAATGAAGGGAGGAGAAAAAGAAAACATGGATACGATGGAATGTGGAAGAGAACGGATAAACATACGGCGGGCCTCCTGCATAATCTTCAGCTAAGTGGTCACCAGCTGTTTTATAAGCCTAGGTGACATGACTGACCACGGGATGATAAGAGTAAACTATCAAAATAAACAATCACATAGTTAAATTTAAGATAAAATGTTCAAAAAAAAAAAGTAATCATTTTGGATCAAAATAATTTGTCGAGCATCAGAAAAAGATGTTTTTTTTTATTTATCACCCTTGTGACAGCCGAACCAAGTTGTACAAATACATAGTACGTTTCTTTAAATGATTAAATCAACAAAAATGTATAAAAAAAAATAAAAACTCCTATTGTCATAGTTAATAGTTTGATAATTAACAACTTGAAATGTGTAGGTCCTATGGAGAGTATAATTAACCTATATTTATACTGTGTATATGTACATTGTTCATCGTGCGTAGTTAGAAAATGAAGCCGTATTTCCATATCAATCGTTTTAGTAACTTTTGTTGGGACTTAAATATTTACATGTAATTACTGCACGCCACATATTCTCGTTATCACCACATAGCAGGGGAGACAACTCGAATTGACATTGTACTGTAGGAAAAAAATCGGGAAAAATACGCTGAAGTCAGGAAAATGTATATAAACTGTATTAATTAAATGTGCTAATAAGTATCCGTCACATTCTTCTGTAATTCCTGTTGGTTTTGCCTTAAAAGAATCTATAGATGTATCGCTATTTATTGTAAATTCAATGTTACTTTGGGCATATACATATCATATGTCATATACGTCCCTGCTTTGTGGTGAACTTTTTTTTTTTGCGTTTTCAATGAACGGTTCACAGTCATCGATACCATTGATTAATATTTTGTATTTAATCACTGCATGTTATGATTGTGTGTCTCATAAATATCGCCTGGGTCGCACATGTGCGATAATCATATGTTGCGCATGTACATCGTAGACATTCCAACGTTGCCTGACTAAAACGAAAGTAACGATAATCACGTGACACAAACTGTTCGGATCAATTTTAGACTTATTAACTGATATATATGGGAGAACTCAGAGATGTTCCATAGAGGCGTGAAAGCTGGGTTCGAAGTCTCACAGCGGTGTTACTGTACCACAAATAATCCCGCGATGAGGCTATTACAGTTTTTACGCAATGGCAAATCTTTTGTGGGAGTTGAGACGACACCTGGGGGTGATATCGTCGACTTGTCACAGGTTCAGCCAGCCTTAACAACCAACATGAGAAATTTTATTGAAGGAGGACAAGCAAGCATGCTGGCAGCCAAAAGGTGACCAAGTTATTTCCCTTCAACTAGTAAAACTGTATAGCATTGCATTTCAGTCGTTCTTCGTCCATTAGTAATAATTTTCACTTCAGTAAATCTAATAATCATTTCACTGATTGATTGATAGGAAAACTGTCAACGATTTATGCATTTCTAAGTTTCTATAGAATTCAACAATCAATGGTTTATATATTCTTAAGTGTCTAAAGAAATCAAGTCTACCAGAATAGATACAAACAGTGTATATTATTCATATCTAGTCAGCAAACCACAATGACTTGTTGCAATTATGATGCATATATGTATAAAATTATGTATTTGATTTATGAATTTATATTTATGACGCAAAGTCTGTGATATATTCACAGTAGCTTGTTACTTAAATGTATGCTGAGTAAACTGAGTTATACTGCTTATGTGCCTTTTGAATATGTAGCTGAATGTCAGAGGTAGTCTCCCTTTAACGTGAATGGTGGAGAAGCTGGCTTGGAAGATGAAGATGAGATGATTTTTTTAGTTGAAGTATGACATACTTCACATATACAATCATCATACAACTTGCATGCCTGTTACAAAAATGCTGTGATGAGCAATGATATGGGTATATGATTGCAGAGCTTTAGAGGGTGGAGAGTACAGAGTGCCAAGGTCAGAGGTCAAGGTCATTGCTCCTATCTACAACCCTGACAAGGTGCTGTGTATTGGTATGAACTACAAGGACCACTGTGAGGAACAGAATGCACCAGTGCCGGAGGAGCCTGTCATCTTCAACAAATTCCCCAGTTGTATCATTGGCCCTACAGATGACATACATTTTCCCGAGGAAACACAGGTATACATAAAGTTGTATCCCCATTAGGAAATTCTGGTAATTATACAAATGTATCCCCCTCAAGAACTCGGGTAGATATAGGGTTGTGCCCCCTGACAAAAGACCACAGGTAAATATAGAGGTGAAGCCACACAAGGAAACACAAGTAAATATAGAGTTAGATGCCCTGATGAGACAATGTTAAATAGAACTGTGTCCCCTTGATGAAACATAAGTAAATTTAGAGTTGCAGGCCTGTAAGAAAACACAGGTAAGTGTAGAGTTGTTATGTACGTTTTTATTTTAATTTGAGATGGGAAATGTTGGAAAATTGTCATGGTGCTACATATTTCACAGAGCAATATACAGATGTTTGTGTAATTGTCATTAATGACTGGTAGATTGATAATGTAAATACTGCAGATATAAGCATAAAACTAAAATTTGTTTAGCAAACGGAACATTATACCAATACCTTGGATTTGATATGTGATGTATTTTGTGTCATTTTCTCTCCACAGAAATTAGATTGGGAGGTAGAGCTAACCATTGTAATTGGCAAGGAGGCCAAGCGAGTTCCTGTAAGTGATTTAGATCCAAATCCAAGGTCAAGGTCATTGTACAGAGGTCAAAATGACAACACTGACAAGAGTTCACAGCCAAAACCAATTAAAAAAGCAATACATATATACTACACATTTGCTTAATAAAGTTATACTCTTGATGCAATTATTTTTTCAGACATCTTACCTTAAAAATCTACAATGGAATTGTTTTGTATTCACATTTTGCCCCCAAATTAACACAGACATAATTATTTTCAGATTTACTTGTCAAATTTTAATTTCATAATTTCAAACAAAAAACAGGTGGTAATTTCAAATCTGATTATCTTCATCTTGACAAACACATCTTTTTCATTTCACGAAATTGTAATAGGGGACATTTTTAATTATTCAACCCACACATGCATTAGAGGAAAAACACAAAAACAAAATTTATGAATTAATTTCAACAACTAAGATATAACTTTTCATAGAATCATCAGAAAATTTTGAAAAAAAACTTGAATTTTTTCAAACTGCAGAAATTATCAGTTACTTTATTTGTTTTCACAGGAGTCTGAAGGTATGAACTACATATTTGGATACACTGTTGCTCATGATGTCAGCGCTCGAGACTGGCAGATTGAGGCTGGACGCAATGGTGGTCAGTGGACCATCGGGAAAGCAATGGATGATTTTTGTCCCCTTGGACCAGTCATTGTAACCAAGGAAGCACTCAGTGGTAACTAAGAATATAAGCTATATATCCCAGATAATTAGTGTTGTTACCAGTTTACTTTTTAACAATTTCGCAGTTTATTTTTAAAGACTGTCATTAAAAAAGTTAGAGTGTTATACACGTGACACAACAAATCCTAAATCAGTCATTTGATTCTATGTATTATATATATACATTTACCTTTAGAATCTAAGTGTATAACAATATAGCATGTGTTTGTATCGTATATTTTATAACACATCTATGAATATAAATTGGTGTTACTAAGACCATAGGCAGTGTATTAATGTTAGGGCCCAAAACCCCTTAATTACAGAGTAGTTGCCATTTGTTTAATTTTTTTCATCCAGAGCATAACTTCAGTTTCATTTAAACTAGGATGATGACACTTGATGTATACATTGGTTATACTAAGACAATATGTAGTGTACCAATGTCAGGGCCAGCAACCCCACAGTTACAGTTATTTCCCTTTGTTAAATTTTTTGTCTAGTGCATAACTTTGCTTTCATTTAAACTAGGATAATGAAGCTTCGTACATAATTTGGTCATACCAGGAGGTAGTCAATTGTACTAAATTCCGGGCCCTCAACTTCTTTACATGTTGTTACAGAGTTATTGCTTTTCGTTAAAATTTTGCGTCCAATAAAGTTATTTTTGTGGAGCATTCATCATTTTCACTAATATTCTTGTTGTTGAATAATTGTTTTGTGTCTGTATTTCCAGATCCTCACAACCTTTCTCTGCGATGTTTGGTCAATGGTGTGGTTAAACAGGATAGTAACACAAACCAACTTGTCCACAAGTCTGCTGCAGTTGTGTCTTTCATATCAAGGTGAGTATATGATTGTAACACAAACCAACTCATTCACAAGTCTGCTGCTATTGTGTTGTTCATATCAAGGTGAGTATATGATTGTAACACAAACCAACTCATCCACAAGTCTGCTGCTGTTGTGTTGTTTATATCAATAATATATTATGTTTCTGTCTAGATATATTCATTAGCTTGTACTTCGCACAGATTTATGACCTTGAAACCTGGTGACCTTATCCTGACTGGGACGCCCCCTGGTGTTGGAGTATTTAGGAAGCCACCAGAATTTCTTAAGGTAAACATTTTTGTAATGCTATACAGATTTTTGATTTTGTGAAGTCCAACATATTTGTAGTATCCAGAGCTGATCTTTATGACTATAAAGTCACCCATATCTGTAGTAATGTTAATAATATCTTTGCAGAGATACAAAATAGAATTACAAAATTTCATATAAATCATTCTAGAAAAATAATTCAGCAGAGATAATTGATTGAACAATGACATAGCAAAACATGTGTTAGGTGATAATAGTTCTGAAAATGATATCTATATGACTGTTAAGTTTATATATCTGTATTGTATTGATTTGAATCAATTATTGGTTGTTTTTTTCAGAAAGGTGATGTTGTGGAATGTGAAATAGAAGGGATTGGAAGTGTGATCAACAAGGTTGTTTAGCTAGTCGGTAACCATAGTAACTACATCATCAACTCTTCTCTTACATGATACTACCACCAGGAAGCTCCTCAAATTTATTCTTTTTAGGTTGATAATATTTCAGTTAATAAATTGAAATACAGTGTTTTTTAAAGTTGCATTGTCATGCAGTCGATACTAACTCTAGCTCTAGTTTGAGGTGGCATTCATTTGATCTATGAATGTCATAGTTAGATTTTTGACATCATTATTTTGTCATAAAGTCAAAAATAAATACCAAATGGTTGTTCAGAAATAAAGAGAGCTTGTGATATTAACATTTATTCTTGATTATCAAATGTTGAATTTCATTAAGATAAAATTGAATTGTTAGATCTTAAGGTAAAGTCAAAAACTGGTAAATTAAGTGCAGAACCGTTTTCAGCTTGTATTCATTACCTAGTCATAGATCCGTCAGGAAACATGCAAACTTCAAATGAACTGCTATATCAGCTGAATGGTATATGTCATCACTTAATTGTATTTGTGTTGATAGTTGCCATCAGATAGGAATATTTTATATGTTATCTCATTTACATTAGATAAACTCAATACTGCTTAGAACTTCGAGACAGCATTTTTTTTTTTGATCAGTTATAGAAGATAGGATGGAAGTTTCTACAAATTTTATCCAAATTAAAAAAAAAATTTAAGTATCATGATAGGAGAAGATTTGAAAACACACCATGTATCATTATGGAAACGAATAATGCTACTGGAGAATAGAGTCAACGCCGTGAGTTTTATTAAAATTGTATTGCGTTCCTGATACCTTTCACTTGGATACCTTCACCAGTATGCAAGGCGATTGAGGAATAGGTGTTATGCAAACTAGTTACACATTAATATAATCAGGAAAGTCCGGGCAATTCATATGTAGTATTATTCAAGATGCCATATTTTGTAAAAAATTCAATTATTTAAATCATGTGTATAATTCTGTGTTGATTATAAATTATCTTATTAGTCATTCAATTATTGATTATTATTTGAATAAATGTGTATAGGTCAGTAATGTATGATATTGAATCATTACATTTATCTTTTGGAAAATAAAAGGTGATATTGATTTTATTGTAAACATTTATATTCTGTTGTACTTTAACTCCTTAATTAATGCATTAAAGATTTTGAAATTAAAACTTTTAGTAGTACACTAGATGGGCACATTATGCAGGTTTTTATGGTATTAAAGCAGATATAGTGCATTTCTTTGTTACAGTTGAAATAAAATGTCATGGTAGATACAGACTATGTGGGTATACAATTTTACTGCTGGTTTTACTTTTGAATAAAGAGGATACATATAAGTACAGAAGTTATCAAAATTCAGGGTCAATGAAATACCAGACGTGTGTTCTGTTTAAGCTTTATTCCAAAATATCAGCTTTTCCAGACTTTTGCAATATGACATGTTTTCTGTTAAGAGCTTTCAAGGAAGGTGTTTTATGGCTAAGTTGTTGTTGATGCTGAAACTAAGTAAACAATGGTTTAATTGTTTTTAAATGTTGTTACATGCATTTATTGTTAAAGTTTTTTACACCAACATTGTTATCCCATATCTGTATATTTCTGCAATAAAAAGTTAAAACTATGACCTAGTGTTTTGTATATCTGGATCAACTTTATATTTTTTTCCATGTGTTCTTGATAAATATGATATAGGCAAGTTTGGAGTGTTAGTAAAGTGTTTTTAGAGTCTTCTAGTGTGGCTTTGGTACATGTATATATGATCAAAGTCTATAACTATACTAATCACACTACAGTATTTATTCGCTAGCCCCAGTTCAAAATGGAGAACATGTATTTGCAGTTACCGCTTTGTCCGTCTGTCAGTTCGTCCTTCGATCATAATTATTTCTGGAGCATAACACAAAAACTATAAGAAATATCAACATGAAATCTTCATAGGTAGATCTCAATAAGAAAAGCAGTGCACAAGAACCATCACTCTTTTGCATAATATTGGAGTTATTGCCCTTTATTTTTCATACTAATTTTGTTTCATTCGGGGAGCATAACTCGTCTCTAACGGCCCTTGTGAGGAAATATTTCTTGGTTTTCAAAGATGTAATAAATACAGACGAAGAGTTGACGTTACAATTTATTGAAGGGAGATAACTCTTATTATACGATGCAGCATGACGTTTGCTAGTTGTCACAGATATACAGGTATCTTTATTTGCACTGCAAGTGTACTCCAATATCCACATCAACAAACTCCATCTAAATGTATGATTTTTCTAAGAGATGCAAATTTAATTTTTAAAATGTTTCTGAAATTTTTATATTAATCATTCTTCATTGAAATATTTATAGATCTTGAAAGCAAAATTGTCGGTATTTTTCTTAAATCCCGTTCGAAATATGAATAAAAATTTTCAGATAAACGTTATATTTCACAGATAGATGTTTTAGTGTTTTATCAATAGTTATAAACTATGATGTCAACACCGAGATATACAAATACACAAAATCAATACATTCTCAGCGTGATGCATATATAGTCATTTTGCGTGGTCCAGGTTTCATGTGGAGTTTTAATATGTATTGATCGAATCACCATTTTATAGGTACAATGTATGCTGTTGAAGCTAGTCATTAAACCCTACTAGTCCGAGCTTGTATCCGGTTGTAATACTATCTGTGTCGGTAATGTTTAAAAGTTCTCAACTGTTCTCACAAAATGGTAATTCAATTATTTAAGCTTAACTATATAATTGGGATATTTTGAAAACGATTTACCTTGGTGTTGACACGATACCATGGTTACAATCATATAAATATCACGATACAAGAGGTATTCATTGTGCCTTTTCTATAGAGGATGTTCGTCAAACCGCGCAGGACATTGCGGAAACTTAACACCCCATGCATAGGAGTGCCGTATTGTAACATTAAAGCACGTACCGTGTTGAGCTTGAGGGACTGTACTTTAATAACAAATTATTGATGTCCATTTATCAATAAACATGGTTCATAGGGCTGCCAGGGTATATTTCGACCGTACACATCACGTAGGAACTGGTCACTATACTTTATTCTGTGTGTACATACGTAGCCATTACGAGGCAGTACCCCTTTTGTTGGCTGGTCGCTCGATCTCATCACTTTTATATTTTGTGGAAGTAAATAAACAATTAAAAAGTTGTTAAAAGGTTATCGATTTTTATTATTTGTCATTTTTTTTTCAATATTATGTTGACAAATGGTAGAGGACGACTTTGTAGTAGACGCCAAGTTATCCCAGTTAATCGGGCCTCGATATCGATGTAAAAATGTCGACAGGATTTCAGAATATTTACTGTTTCTGTATCAATAACTTCTGTCAATGAATAGTGTATTTATCACAATTAATGTTTCCAGTTTACATATTTGTATAAATATATAATTTATACTACAGTGTAGGACGTTTTCGCGTGAGAGACAGGTGTCCCGTTGACGTCCATACAGATTGTTTACAATCCGAATAAAAATTGTGACTTGGAGTTTCTGTTAATGTAGAGTTACGGCTTAAATCTATAAGCACCCAGTAACCAATTTAATTCATCTCTCGTATTGTATTCAATCGGGATAAACATACTCTGAAGTTGCTTTGCAAATCTCCTCTAAAAGTCCGGATGTGGCAGGAGTGACTTTCTCATAATATCTTTAGTCTGGCTTGGTAACGGCTCGTCACTTTATTTGACGAGAGGATGTAAAGGTTGGGACGGTTGAGAATTAATATGCTGATTTAATAATCAATCGGCGCGTGGTTGTCTATTTCATCAGTGACGTATTTGAAATAATTCTCTGAAATATTTTATTGACGCATATGGAATTAAGAACACTTAAAGATAAAATGAATGCAAACAAATAAAATTCCATTTATACTATATAAAAAAAAGTTTTAATGAACTGGGAGCTGGCAAAGGATTATATTAAGTGCTGTACACCGCGACTTTCCGAGGTCAGAATGAAATGTAGTGCGGTGTCTGTGCTTTATGCCGAGAGCAATTTCATAATTTCATTCTTATTCCCGAAGTGTACAGAATAATGTATGGACCTTCGTGCATTAGTGGGAAGTGACCTGAGTTAAGTCTTTGGGGAACGTAATAAGTGTTGAAATATCCTTGTCCTTCGAACCAATATGTTTCCAACGATCCCTTTTCTTACTTGTGATTTTGTGTTGGAAAAAATTAAGTTGGAGAAAATATTCTCGTCTATGATGAATTCAGCAAAAGTTTCAAATGATGATACAGAAATTAAACTATATCACAAAATGTAAGACAGTTCACCGATGTGGAAATTGAATTATCTCAAACGCTGATTGTTGGATAAGGACATAATACACAAGTATATTTTTGAATTTGAATGGAGAATCAGAGACTACATGCCTCTAGTATTTGTACATCTCCTGGCTACCGACTATCGATTATAGTGACGTTAGTTTTGGGATCTGGTAGTTCTTTGAAATTTAGGACAGAATTACAGTCTATATCTGAATCAATACGATGTCCGCCTGTCCAGTGGTAATACGGGATACTAAAACGTTTAATTGAATGTTTATTAATCAAAACAATCAGATCAAATTTAGCCGATTTATAAACCGTTGATCCGAAAGTTATAACCTACGATATCTATACAGGACCTTCGTGTTATAATGGAAATCCTCTTGTTATAGTGGGTTTCTAATTATAACACCAATACTATATATATATGTTGATCTCCTAATAATAATGTTCTCTTGATGTTCAAGCTAATTTCTTCGTTATAGTGATGAATCCCTAGTTATAGTGGTGATCCCCTAGTTTTAGTGATAATCCCCTAGTTATAGTGATGATCCTCTAGTTAAAGTGATGATCCTCTAGTTATAGTGATGATCCTTTAATTATAGTGATGATCCTCTAGTTATATTGATGATCCTCTAGGTATAGTGATGATACTCTAGTTATAGTGATGATCCCCTAGTTTTAGTGATGATCCTCTAGTTATAGTGATGATCCCTTAGTTAAAGTGATGATCCCCTAGTTATAGTGATGATCATCTAGTTATATTGATGTTCCTCTAGTTATAGTGATGATCCCCTAGTTATAGTGATGTTCCTCTAGTTAAAGTGATGATCCCCTAGTTATAGTGATGTTCCTCTAGTTATAGTGATGATCCCCTAGTTATAGTGATGTTCCTCTAGTTATAGTGATGATCCCCTAGTTATAGTGATGACCCCCTAGTTATAGTGATGATCCCCTAGTTATAGTTATGATCCTCTAGTTATAGTTATGACCCTCTAGTTATAGTGATGACCCCCTAGTTATAGTGATGATCCCCTAGTTATAGTGATGATCCCCTAGTTTTAGTGATGATCCTCTAGTTATAGTGATGATCCCTTAGTTAAAGTGATGATCCCCTAGTTATAGTGATGATCCTCGAGTTATATTGATGTTCCTCTAGTTAAAGTGATGATCCCCTAGTTATAGTGATGATCCCTTAGTTAAAGTGATGATCCCCTAGTTACAGTGATGATCCTCGAGTTATATTGATGTTCCTCTAGTTATAGTGATGATCCCCTAGTTATAGTGATGTTCCTCTAATTAAAGTGATGATCCCCTAGTTATATATATATTCCTGTAGTTATAGTGATGATCCCCTAGTTATAGTTTTGTTCCTCTAGTTATAGTGATGATCCCCTAGTTATAGTGATGATCCTCTAGTTATAGTTATGACCCTCTAGTTATAGTGATGACCCCCTAGTTATAGTGATGATCCTCTAGTTATATTGATGTTCCTCTAGTTATAGTGATGATCCCCTAGTTATAGTGATGTTCCTCTAGTTAAAGTGATGATCCCCTAGTTATATTGATGTTCCTCTAGTTATAGTTATGACCCTCTAGTTATAGTGATGACTCCCTAGTTATAGTGATGATCCTCTAGTTATAGTGATGATCCCTTAGTTATAGTGATGATCCTCTAGTTATAGTGATGTTCCTCTAGTTATAGTGATGATCCCTTAGTTAAAGTAATTATCCCCTAGTTATATTGATGTTCCTCTAGTTAAAGTGATGATCCCCTAGTTATATTGATGTTCCTCTAGTTATAGTTATGACCCTCTAGTTATAGTGATGATCCCTTAGTTAAAGTAATGATCCCCTAGTTATAGTGATGATCCTCTAGTTATAGTGATGATCCCTTAGTTAAAGTAATGATCCCCTAGTTATAGTGATGATCCTCTAGTTATAGTGATGATCCCTTAGTTATAGTGATGATCCCCTAGTTATAGTGATGATCCTCTAGTTATAGTGATGATCCCCTAGTTATAGTGATGATCCTCTAGTTAAAGTGATGATCCCTTAGTTAAAGTGATGATCCCCTAGTTATAGTGATGATCCTCTAGTTATAGTGATGATCCTTTAGTTATAGTGATGATCCCCTAGTTATAGTGATGTTCCTCTAGTTATAGTGATGATCCTCTAGTTATAGTGATGATCCCCTAGTTATAGTGATGATCCCCTAGTTATAGTGATGTTCCTCTAGTTATAGTGATGATCCCCTAGTTATAACGATGATCCACTAGTTATAGTGATGATCCTCTAGGTATAGTGATGATACTCTAGATAT